TGAAAGACACATCGGCCAATTTCTGTTAGGTGTCCTATTATGAGACTTAATTTTAATCTAAGCACGGATCGGCTGACAAAGCCTCCAAATAGGAACAAATTTCAATGTTTGCGAACTTCTGGCCAGCAATTGAAAGAAAGGTCGGTCAGGTTCTACACTCTTATAAAAATTAACATGAAGTCGAATGGATTGGCAAGTGATATTATTAAAAACTGTTAACTCAAAATTTTACGTCGGAGATGTTAATGTCTATATCTATTGATATGCTTTATAAACGGCATAGCAAGCTCGATATATCTCCGCAACCTGTTTCCCTCACAAACATCCAACAGACTTTGCTTGTAAAGATAGTTCAGAAATTGTATTACTTTTCTGCTCTAATGATTCATTGTTTTTGTTCACAGACACATTGAAAGCATTAAACAGCACCCAATAGGAGATCAATTTGTTTAAAGCTTTATTTATTTGCTTTATATTTGCATGTGTTCGAGCTAAAGTGTCGGTTAGCTTTGCTTAATTTTTTTTCTTTTGATACCCTACACCACTTGTGGTACAGGGTATATTACGTGAATGCGGACGTACGTAACACCCGGAATGTCTTAAGATAGACCGACCTTTTATTGTACCGATAAAAACCTATCTGCCCGTCTGATGTCTGTCCATGTACTTTTAGGCTCAAGCTGCAGTCGCAAGATTTGAGGTATTTCGATGAAATTTGGTATACGAACTTACTTTGACCCAAGGGCAAACACTATTCAAAATGATTCGGCTCGGTCCACTTTTTCGACCACTTCCCATATAGCGCCCTATTCTGAAAATTCGTTGAATGGGGAAAAATTGCAATATTCAAAATTTCTCGGCAAAAATGGCCAAGTAGTAGCATTACGGCATTCCAAGTTAGTGTGAAAACTTTGGATCGGCTATAGCAACTTTTCGAACCCGCTCTCCTAGGCCCGGTAATGGAAGCTTTATACTACTATGCTAGCTACAAAGGTAAAATTTCCAATATTTCGCAGAAGTAAACTGACAAAGATATCTACCTCACCAAATTTGAACGACGTAGGTCTAATTCTTGAATACCACCGCATATAAGCATTCTCATGAAACGTAAATCCCTACATGTGACGAAAATTTGTTTATGAAAGTAATTAAACATAAAAATGAAGTAGATCCCATTGGAACTGCATGGGTCTAATTCTTGGCCTTCCTCTCAAGGCCAAGGATTCATTTTTAATATATTGTGATGATATTTTCTTGGACCCCAACATTATCACGCGTTATCACGAAAAGCCATCTCTTATATAAAGAGAAAGTCTTTCAATATTCGGGCTTTCATAAAAACTGTGGCTTTGCGTGAAAGTAATGTGTACTTTTTCGTTTTTTGAATAACTGTACTAAGCGAAGTGCTATAGGGTGTGTAGCAGTCGGCGTTGTCCGACTATAGTGTTTCTGCTTGTTTTTTTTTAAATTAAACCTCTGGGAAACAGGCGGACATATCTAAAAATATAAATTCATGAAGGTTTTCTATTTTGAGTGCGTAAACACTTATTCCAACCATAAAGTCACTGAAGTCTTTAGTGAAATTGTGCTTGTATAAACCGTACTTATTAAATAAAGTAAGATAATCTAATGGAAAATCTAAAGCTTATTATAAAGAGCATTACACAAAAGACCGCAATAATCAAAACCACAATTTATAAACAATACAACGCTAGCATGATCTATATATAAGGGAAAATAAAAACAAATTCGCAGAAAACCTGGTGACATCGTCATCAAAAGTGAATAAAACAAATAAAAGCAAAAGGGAGGAGTCTTACCTACACATACATTCTTATAATGCAATAGATGTGTTTTGTTTAGTATGCGGACGTGCGTGCATGTGTGTATGCAAGTAAGTATTAAATAAATATGAGATGACGGATCAGTTTTTATATGCATATGAAAAAAAACAAAAATAGTGAGGAATAGAATAAAAGCTAATGAATGAATTTAAAACAAAACCGGTAAGAAACGAATTACTTAAGTAACCAACACAAGCTGAGCCCACGTTCAAGCGTATATGTAAGAATATATAGGTAATGTAGGATAATGTAGGTACGACGTTTCTTCAGCTACTACTAGAGAATGCTGCTGAAGATATGAAAAATCCCGAAAGCAAGTCTACAACGATCAGCGAGAGATATTAAATAAATCTCATCGTATTTGCTTTGAATAATGTCGTAGCGAATTCAATGCTTCCCTAAATCATTAAAAACAAAAATAAGATGAATGTCAGTAAGTAGTTCTATTTTGCTTGGGTTTGGATCTCTTAATACCTGACATCAGCTGGTATATGATGTTGCGATGCAACAATGTAACCACGAAACATTTGTAGGCGCTATTAAAGGGCTAATTTCTCCTAACATCGAATACATGGAAACACATCGTAGATATGTCGAGCCACACATTTTTAGACGCTCGTTCTATTTTCACTTATGACTGCTTGATAATCGTGAGACACACTTAGTAAGATATAGTTCACTTACGCTCCTAAGATGAATATTTTATTAAGCAAAAATTTGAAATCGAACCTAAAACTCTAAATTTAATATGCTGTGAAGGAAAGAGAATAGATTAAGTTTGTGTGCATGTATGCAACACCCGCAAAGAGTTGGCAAAGACCCTCCTCTTATTATACGAATCGACTCAGAAGCACTTTTCACATCGTTCTAAGGTTGTCTGTCCGTCTATCTGACTCTTTTTTTGTGTTCAACCTACAGGCCGCAAATTTTTGAGATATATTGATGAAGCTTTGGACACCGACTCTTTACAACTGAGAACGTCTCGAATCGGATCGTCTTTTCGGTCCACCTGTTATATAAATAATAGTAGGGTTGTGTGAGACATTTAATATGGGACCGTGTCCTAATACATTCTTTTCATTTACTTTTTATATAACAAATGTCGCAAATTTGGATATTTGTTTAATATAATATTATTATTATTATACATATTTTCTTAAAGTTACTTCAATTTGAAGATTAAAACAGTAACGCGTACGCTGATTTGACGAGAGTGAACGAGAGGAAACTTAATACCAACTGGGTTTTTCTTTTCAAAATTGTGAAGTTGGAGTTTTGATGGCAATGGGGAGACATACGGACATATAGAAAGTCAGATATAATAGGCAGACTGGTTGATAAATTGGTGGAGCCGCTAACATCTCAGTATAGTTCTAAGCTAATCAAATATTGTGATTTCCAAAGAGTGGCGGACACACTGACATACAAACACACATGCTTTTGGGCACACCCAAACGCAGACAGAAAACCCGTCATACAGACGGATAGAAAGGCAAACTAATGGGGATGATGGAAGATAGGCAAAGGGAAAGGTAAGTAGAAGTATAAATGGGCATAAAGACATCCGGACAGAAAGATTGATGGTTTGACAGAAATATCAACATTTAATTACATCATTTTTATTTATTGTAATTTTTCTTACATGAAACGCGCACCTGAGAGTTCGTTTTATATCACGTATAAATATAAGAAAAAAGATGCTGATCTCAAAGAGGAGAAGTACAGGCACATAATAGGGTAAAGGGAAGCGCAAAGGGATAAGCAAACAAACTGGTGGCACACGCATAGATTGGCAGATAGAACAACAATCAATGGATCGAAGGATATTTCTTTCGCAGACCGACTGACAGGGAGATCGAAACCTAAGAGCGAAGGAGCAGATACAGGCCGACACAACAACAGATGAGTAGACGGATGGACAGACTATCTATCTAATAATCTAATCTATTAAGTAAGTCAAAAGTGTATATCCCTTAAGCGATTTTCAATGCGGTGCAAACATTTATCAAATCTAATATACATTCAGAGCATGAAGATCCTAAGTTTGAATTAGAAGCTTATCTGCATCTATCTACCTATGTACTATATATTTATGCTTACATGCGCAGAGAGAATGAGAATTAATTGTTGTTTCTAACTTAAGCCCACATAAATGTAATTTCATATAAGGAAATAACCACATGTTCGTTGTTTTCAGTCTGTTAAACGTGAATAATAAAGCGATAATCATGATGATGATGATGATGATGACGATCATGCGGTTAAGCAAGAGATGGCTTTTAGGGTTGGCGTTGGTTCAACTAAATCAAGTGTCAATTTCAAAGCACAATTACGTCATTGTTCTGCTTATTAAACACGACGAAACAATACTTTTTAAAGTATTAAATTTATTTTTATTTCATTTTAAGAAACAGGCAACGCAGTCTATGTTACGATGCTCCCTACTAACCCAATGGCTCATACAAATTTATTTGTTAAACAAACTCAATATATTTCAATAAGCAAGCAAACGAAAAGTAATTGAAAAGACGAAGGCTTTGCTCCTTTTGAGGAAATATGTGCTTAGCTTCCATATTTCATCAGATTTTTAGCCTGCGTGTAAAGTGTGACACACAGTGATCACAGACGAATCACCACAAACCGGCTGCTGCTGATGCTGATTGTCGTTTGTAGCGTATACGAATAATAGAGAGAACCGAAGCAATGGTTGTATAGCCGTGTTTCGAATGGAGAAGTAGATCTCCATCCAGTAAGCAAGAAAAATAAATATTTTCACATATTTTCTCTTTCAAATCTTAAGATCACAATTTGAGACGAGCAAAACAATACAACAAACTTATTGCAATGCTAACACACTACACTCTACGTATCCTCGCGAAAAACAATATTTTTTGTTTTTTTCTTGAAAAATCGCGAACAATATGGAGACAGACGTACAAATGCGTTATTTTTGATTTCAGTTTTCAGAACTTGTTTTCAAATTTGATTTCTTCTTCTTGATTGCATTCGAGCAATCTCTTCTTCGATTCTCTTCATAAAACTAAATATTTTGAGAATAGTTGTTTTTCTTATTTTTCATACATAGCATGCGCACATATGTAAGCATACGTCATACATGCAACCTGTTGCATTCTATTTAAATCAATTATAAATTACCCGCATCAAGGTAACCGCTAAAGATTCTTGATTGATCTTCACTCTCGTTTAATTCTTTTATTGCAATTTTGTTTTCCTGTTCACATGTATAAGTGTATCAAAGCATTTATATGCATGTGTATCGTGTGGGTTTAATTAAATTTCATTTTACGAATTAGCTTTTGTCTGCCTTTTTGCTGTTTTTTTCCTTTATACACAAAAACCCGCTTAATTTTTTGCTTTCCGATACAATTCTCTTCGAAAAAATTAAACACATTTAAAACAATCCGTAATGCACCGACTCGGAACAACAACTAAAATAAGTTGATTACAGTTTATATTTAACAGCGATCGGGAGCAGTACATACACACATCGACATACGTCGTTTAATACAACCACACAAATACAAAATACAAATTTGTGTAAGTTAAATAAGTGGTTTATATGACAGGCTGTTTTGCCTGCATGTGTATAATATTATAGTCTTTGCAAAGTGATCATCGTTAATACTGGTATACTGTGTACGAAAAAGAAAACAAAAAAAACGAATGCAGACAATAAGCGATGTATATGTTTGTTTACATGTTGTTGGGCCTGCTAATGTATTTGAGAGAGAGAGAGAGAGAGAGAGAGAGAAAGAGACTAACGAAAAAACTCTCTTTGATTTGCTAATAGGAAGGCTTAGCTTTATTAGAAAACACTGTTTTTATATGTTAGACAGTCCAAGTGATAAACGCTAGATAAGCTCAATTTTTCAAGTATGTATTTTTCACGTATGGTCACCCTTTGAGTTTTTCTTTTTTCACTTGGCATCGTTTCTCTTATGTAAAACTCACCCTTAAGTGTTAGAAATCATACCTTTACTATGCAGTCTCAAAACTGATGCATTTGGTTTTCACTTTCTCTGAGTGCTTAGTCAGATGGGTGCTTCATGGAAATCCCACTGCAGATAATACTGCATTTCCATATCATTCAATATCAATGACCGTGCTTTGGTTTGCTCCGATTTAAGGGCAAACAAGACGACTCTCTTTCTGGCGACAACGACGGAATAATTGAACTAATCGTCGTCACTTGTATTCTTTATTTTTTAGCTAATAGATATAACACTTTGCTTTGCAAATTGCGGCCTCAGAAGAGATATTATTTGACCTATTAATAGACTGATGTGTAACCAAACGAGACTCAATGTTCACCTACTCAAAATTGGCATAGTGAGTAGCTCCTCATGTACATATGGGGTTTTGCACTCTCATGATCATATTTTATTTGTCTGTCCGAATGTGATCGCTTCTATTCGCCATTCCATGATTGCGGCTATTATGTTTTCGAATAGATATCATATCCTGCACGTTAATATAGTTTAGGCGCAAGTAACCAATGCAATGTTATTAACTTTCGTATCACAAAAATTCTAAAATATACAAGCTTTTAATCTCGCAACTTGTACTTATGATTAAACTCAGGCCCCACCAGCCGATCAAGTGAACTTAATCGGATACACTCCATAGCTTTTGTTTGGTGAGTCGCTTTAGCGCATAGAGACTTGTAGCTGTCGATAAAGGATTAATCCTTCTTCTCTAGCGAATCAAAAATTTTTCGATCTGAAAATCGTTTTGAAGTAACGTATTCAAATTACGACTTCAACGTGTATGTCAAATCAACATTTTTTTACACAAATTATGGCCATGGAACTGTTCAAACCCATTACAACCCATTCAACAACATTAAAGAAGAAGCATTTTTTGAAAATTGAAAATTTAAACCTTAAACTTTTTTCAAGGCAAAAAGAAGTTATTTAGTCGGAGCTGATATGGCATTTCGCAACAAAACTCGAAAAAAATTTTTATCTGCCTTAAGATATACTTTAATGTACTTTAAAATTGTGGAAAACCCAAATATTGATAAACCTTTTCATTTATTTTATCTAAATTTAACAAAAACAATTATAATTTTAACGAAGACAACTTCATTTCATCTCTGGACTCGATTGTTCTGCGATACCTATTCAGGAATGTATGTATAAATAAGTAGGATTTCATAGCATATACCTGCTCGACAAAGGTTAAACAAACCTAATATGTATCACCAAGGGGGGGATGAGCATAATTATAAGTTTTCAGCTAATTACTCATTTACATTATACTCTTATGCAATTAATTTATTTATTTTATTTTATTCTCTTATGCAAGTAATTACTGTGTTCGCACGTTATTCCAGGCAAACCTCTGCTCTCTTATATGGAGTTTATTTCCAAAATGGCTGGTACTCTCTATTAAATCTCGTTCATATTTTTTTAAAGCATTTAACACAAGAAAAATTATTTCTGTTACTCACACCGCTAGCGGTTAAATGATAAGAAAAATTCTTTACCAGTTTCATTCATACGCAGATACGTTTAAACATAACCTGCTTCAGCTGTTCATAAGCTTATCGTTTAATAAATCGTCGTAAGATTAGGTTTAATAGTAAAGTGGAACAGTAATGGAGTAGTCCGTCTAGTCTGCTTTATTGAATTTATTTGGATGCTATGCGTTGAGTTCATCAGATAAATAATTACGGAAAAACAGCTTTAATTGAATCGATTATCTATTATCACCTAGCAGCGCAGCTGTTTTCATGAAGAGTGTGATTTAGCTCTTCGCAATTATTGCAAATATATTTGCAGAATATAAGGGGAGAAACTATCTATAAAAACTTCCATTTCTTATTCGACGAAATACGAACTCTGCGCCTTGTGTGCGTCTATGTTTTCATAATAATCCCAAATCACTGAACTGTGTTATTGAATTTTATAACGGAAATGCGAAACTAGCTTAGGTTTTATGTCAACTATAAAATGCATTTGCTATTCTAAATGCCTGGGCCACACTGTAAGCCAGCCCTTACGACGGTTCACCTACTTTCTTTCATATCCTGAAATCAACGCAGCGTACTTTAGTTCAAGCAGACTGTTCGCGACTGTTTGTAAGAAAGAACGTGAAATACTACATAAATAACTCCTCGTTCATGTTGGTATGAATTTCCAATCAAAAATGTTTTTCTTCTTTAATGAAAAACAAGTGAAAACATTATAATGGGCCTACCACTAAATCTTCTACCCCAACCTACAGGTATTCATACAACTATGTGGAATGTAGTCGGGAAAATGATCCCACGCTAACCATTTTCAATAGTATTCGTGCTTGAGCCAAAACACGTCGGTGTGTCAAATCTCATCAAAGTATCTCAGAAGTATCGCAAAAGTTGAGCACAAGAAATAAGACGGACTGACTTTCAGACAAACAGATAAGCTTAAATCGATTCAGCGACAGATTCTGAATTGATAGGCATAATAATAAATCCTTCTTTTGGATATTGCACACATCTATCCAAGCTTAATATACTATTGTACCCACTTGGTGGGGTAAAGTGTAAAAAAAGAATATATATTCGATTTGGATCTGTTAATACCTATGTAAAAAAAATTTGATTGTTCATCACGATATATCAATGTATATATTGGGTAGCGTGCCTTGCACAGTGTATATTCTTTATATTTATATTTTTTATTACTTGGCAGCATTTTATAGGTATTTGTCCAAACTAGAAAAACTGGCTTCATACAGGCATATATGTTCTTTATTTGCAGCTGCTGTAGGCCGACATAACTGATTTTCAAATTTGTAGTGGCTTTGCTTTTTTTTTAGTGCAAAGACACGCCTCACGCCTTTAAACTCAAATATTGGTGGCCATTTTGGGCAAGAGGAGAATATTGTCTGCTTAGCGACAACGGTAAGCAAGCTAACAAATAAATTATACTGATTATTGTCTTAATTACAAAAAAAAACTTTATAGCTAAATTTTCTTTGTGTATAAAAAATTTTAAATTCCGTAGACGGACAGATGGAGAACAGAGTGGTAGAAAGTTTAGGTGAGAGACAGATAGACAAACACAAGAAGAAAAGATAGACAAATAGACAACAGAAGAAGAAGGAGTGACAGGTAGACAAACAGTCGAATAGAAAATTTAGTCACGAGGCAGATGGACCAACAGACGAGCAAACATTTTAAAAAACACACAGGCCGAGTAAAGAACAAATAATTAAAAGGACGGACAGTTAAACCTAAGCACGAACCAATCGATAAAAATCCAAATCAATAGATTTTTGCAACTCTTAAGAAAAAGATTTTTTAAATTAATAACTTTTTTTTATTTCTGTTTACATTTGAGTTTGTACACAGCATTAAATATATTTAAAACTACATTTAATTACTTTATGTACTGCATAAGTACTAAGTCGTGCAATGCATGCTTTTTCGAAAAGAAACTACAATAATTCTTCAAACGGTTAGTGATTATGCTAAACTCAGCGTTTGGTAAATGTCTGCGATAAAGGAAAGTATTACTGCACGAATACAGGGCAACTATAGTAATAATTAAATAAGTTTGATTAAAAATAAAATAAAAACAAAACAAAAAAAAAAAAACAAGATAAAAGATAGTGAAATTTATTGTACTATTGCTTATGCATATTAGCTACAAACAAAAATGAAATAATTTACTTATAAATATTAAATTAATTATTAAATAATTTGATTAATTCTTGAAAAAGCAAAAACTTATAGACAATTTTTTCTTAGATTAGATGAAAATGTTCTATATTTTATTCTTTAATAAAACTATATTGCTATTTGGAATTTATAGCTGTTCATCCAAAATGAAACTACTTCATATTACAAGCTACGCACGTACATACATGCATAATATACAAAAGTATTACTAAATAGAGAAATTGTTCTAAATAACTAAAAATTGCACATTTCCGGCCAGTGACAACGGAAAAATATCACATTTATTATCGTATCTAGCTAATCATTATCATAATCATAAAATTTGAATCAAACCACTTAACTACTCAACATAGGTACAGACGGATAGGGAGAGGAAGCACCTCTCTTCTTGCCCTTAATGCCTAACTAATTACGATTTTGATGCGTTTTACTTATTAAAAAATATATTTATTTATTATTAAAACTATTTAAAATTGCACCGTTATTGCACTAAAGTATTTCTAAATGAAAACATGTATATATATATTGCAGTTACTACCCTTCGTCAACTTATATTCTTACTTTTATTCGCTTAGAAATATTATTTATTTACATACCTTTTATTATATTCTTGATGTTTCTCTCACTTCGGGCTCTCTTATCTTTCTACCGATTTTCGAATGTTTTTATATAGAACCGAATGTGTTTCAATGCTTTCAGCTCCCGATTCCCACATATCTTCAGGATTGATCTCACCATCCGTCTCGGATGAACCGTAACTGGTAGTTGTCGGTTGTTCATCCTCATCGGACGTGTACAGTGCGGATGATTGTTTTGCACTTCTTTGGCCATTTGAATGTATTAATGTCTTATCCGAATCACTATCGCTTGCACTATCGATTTGTTTATGTTCTACTTCTCCACCTTCTTCCTTTTCTAATCGTTTCGATTGTTTCATATCCTCGTAGCGGTTACTATCTAATAAATTGTTTCTAACTTTACTTATCTCTGTAATATTTGCATTATTTTCGCTTTCTTTTAAACTGTTCTCACCATCCGACTGATCTTCTATCGTCTCAACGCGGATAATTCGTTCTCGCCCGGAAAGCATTTTGAAATTGTAACGATCGTAGTAGCCACGTTTATGAGCTTCTGCCGAATCGGCGCTCATATAGCCACTGTCCATTTCTTGAATTCGCGAACCGAAACGTTGCTCGTAATAGTTTTGACTAGCCGGTGCCGAGTAGCTACTTTTGGGTGTTCCCATTCGAGCATGATCATCTATAGTGGACGATATGCCTTCATCGCGTTCCATTACATCTATTAAACTGGAAGAGTTCTTCTTCTCGTACGGTGGTGCCGGACTTTGTGTGGGACTAAACTTTGAAGCAGCCATACTTACAAACTTCCTCCAAGCATTTTTAATATCTTTTGCTTTTTTCGGCCGGTCCTTTAAGCCCATAGCAATTTGCATGCCATGTGTTAACTGTACCGGCTCTATCTCGCAACGGTAAACACTTTGAACATTAGCTGTCGATGTCGTGCTGGTAGTGCTGCTCGCAATCGCATTATTGCTATTAACATTACTGTTGTTAGTTGTGCTATTATTGCCACTGCTATTGGCCGTACTACGTTGTGGATATGCTATACCCACTGGTACACCGGCGTTACGATACATTTCCTTGGTGCGTTGTGATAAACGGCTACTGCTACGGTTTGATCTTGAACTTAAGGAGACGGTGTCCAGTTTATTCACTTCCGTATCTAAGGAATTTTTAAGGTTATTATTAGCTTCCAGTTGAGAATCAGTAATTGTTGTGTTATTGCTGCCATCATCATCGTTATCATCTTCTTTATCTTGCAATTTTCGCTTATTCATCTTATACTTATTGAGGCTGTAGTCAGTGCGTAAACCATTGATATGCGTATTAAATATGGCACCATAGTCCTCATCTTTTAATTTGTTCGCTAATTGAACCTTTTCCAATTCGACGGCACATTTATCTAAAATAATTGTATTTTCACTTTCGACTAACTTTGGGAATTTGCCTATCGTACCGCTGAACTCTGAGTTGGGCATTGTTTCAGAAATGCCGGTAATTTCGGTGGATTCGCTATGATTGCTGAGAGTTTCATCTTCGGTGGCTGAGTACGCCATATAATTGCGCTGCGGTGAGCATCGACTTGCCTTGCTGTTCAGTGTGGTCGTGGCTGAAGTAGGTGGTGGCGGCGGTGGAAGTAACGGTGATAGGGAAGATTTTCGTTTAGTTGACGGCGTTGGTGTAGTACTGGCACTTCGTTCATAGTTAGGTGGTTCGCGAACCTTCCGATCCGCCTGCATGTCCAATTCATGTGGAATGGGGTCTTGTAAGCGAGGTTTTATTAAAGCTGCTGTAGATTCCAATTCGTTTGTTCTCGTCAAAATTCGATTAGCCTTGGGTGTGGAAATTTTGATTGTTGTTTTGTTGGGAGTTTCGTTTGATATTTCTATCAAAGGTGATGTTGAGCCCGATTCACTTGGTCTTTGCCTGCGACTGTGCTTAGCTTCAAGTGTTAAAATACGCCCCTCGGCGTTAACACTGCCTACACTTGGTGTCGTTGATGGCAAATTCGTTAGTTTACCGCACCTACAACTGCGATCACTACTCTGCCGCGTCAACAAGGATTGGTTGGCGCTGACTTTAGTTTGTCTCATCATTTGGGCGGAGAATTGCCTTCTTAATTCCATTTGGCTTTCATAGGCCGAATCTTGGCTATTATGTCTTTCCGTTACAACGTGGCATTGTATTTTGCATATCTGTGGCTCCTCACCCGTTGCCGGTGGCGCCAATATATTGGGTAAAGAGATAGATTCGGTGAGCATAGGTTCATTTTGCATTGTTTGCTGTTGCTGGAGCTGAGATCTTGCTAAGTCTCCTGCCGACCATGCACTTACATCGCAAAAACTTTGCTTCTTCGGTTTACGATCGAGCGTGTCCGGCTCGTACTGATCGCTATCGGTGGAGCGTTCTAAATCGGAAGGTGGCTCATGTTCAACTTCTATAGTCATACTTCCGCGAAAGGGAGTATCGTATTTAATACGCGAAGCTACGTTTTTTTTGCTTACACTTGGATTTGTATTTGTCGTTGTTAGCTTTTTTCCGATACCAGTTAAAGGCTTACTTACAAGCAGGCGATCACCAAACATGGTGTGCGTTATTTCTAATTCCTCTTCCAGAGGTAATGCTGTACTTAAACTAGGACTAAGTTGCGAACTGACATCGGAAGAGGGCGACGAAGACGACTGAGAAGTAGTTTTGTGTTTGGTATTCTCTAGACGCTCTAAGCTATCTGTCTCATAGTCTACTATTAGGTACTGCGGTGACTTTCGGCGGTAAATGGGAGAATCCGGTTGATATTGTTTTAAAGATTTACGGCTCAAAGAGCTGTAATCAGGTGTAGGCACCGAGGGGCCGCTGCTTTGAGTATTATTGTAAATATCTTTAATTTTTTTTTCCATGGTACTGTCGTAATCAGGCGTAGGTATGTCCAAATGGAAACTGCCATTTGATCCGATTGTGGCTGTAAAATCACGTACAGGTGGATTTTGATCAATATGGTCAGGCATTTGTTCCATACTACGTAACATATCGTAGTGTTGACGTTCACCTGAAGCCAAAGAACTGGGCGTTGAAGCCACAGCATATTGATCAAGAGCATCTAAACGTTTACGAGAATTTTTGGAACGATGCGACGAGCCATGACTGCGTTGAGAGGCTGCCGGTGAGTCGTGCAGAGAAAATTTTGGATTATTGTAGATTTCACTGCCAGTTTCAGCATAACCATATATATTTGCGGCTGCGGATAATGCCGAAAAAGTATCATATTTAGTAGGACTAATAGGAATCGTGATAGAATTCTTCATTAATTGAGGCGTGTGATAATGCTGGTATATGATCAAGTCATTGTCCTTAGGACAGTTCTTTGACTCTATCGGGTAATTGGATTTACCATGCTCCCAGGCTGAGGAAGAACGCGAGCTTAGCGCGGCGTTACTTTTGTTAATGGGGGGTGGTGGGGGTTTTTGTTTTGGCGGTGTAATATCTTTGCGTTGTGGACCACGTCTTCCCAAAGAACCTTGACATGTTAGCGGTTGTCTAGAGATAACATTTGAGTTCACACTGTTCGCAACTTTGTCAGAACAGGAAGAAGAAGTTGATTTATCTTTTTCTATTTCAGACTCTGCTCTATTTGGCGGCGTATTTTCTCTGGATGAATTTGTAATGTGCTCATGACTTTGACTATTTTCACTGGAACTGACTGTTTGTAACCATTTTTCAATGCTGTTGCGTTTTTCGCCACAATTTTTCACATGACCACTGCACCGGTTGTTAACACAACCTTGGCACTCCGATGTTGTCTGCATTTGCGAGCCGTACAAGGAAGGAGTACCAGATCGCACGGTGCCTTCTTCGGGTATAAGCGTTAGGGAAGGTTGATAACGTTTACTAGCCATTTTATATTTCGCAATAGATATAACTTCGCGAATTTTAGATAAAAACTCCAGAGCAGCCGGCGGCGGTTGCTAATTTTAAAACAGGAGATAGGAGTACAAAGGTAAGGGCGAAAAGTAATAATGTCTGCTTAAGTCTTCTTAAACACTTACTGCTAATAAATGCGGCTCAAAATAGGCCGGATTGAAGTACAATTTTTTGCGAACATTACCATTAACCATAGCTCTTAAGTTCTCCAACTTCTCTTCGGTCATCATATCTTCAATAATGGCTACATTTTCTATAGGTAAACATTCGTTTTCCTGAGTCGATGAATTAGTTGTTTCTGGACAGTCTTCTTCTTTCATTATTTGATGTTGGCTGGCAGTGTTAACATATCCGCTCACTTTGGGCGGGCAATCAACCTTTGAGCACACCATTTGCGGATGAACTATAACATTAGTTTGCATCTAGAACGACGAAAATGCTTCAGATGGATGCTTGTTATATAACAGAGAAGTTGTAAACCTGTTTAAATTTGTCATGATAACCACCGTCCATTTCGCATTCGGATGCCGAATTAGATATATCGCTGGCAAAGCCCGAGTGGTGATCGCTTAGTTGCGGAAAGTGTTGCAATAAAGGATTATTCTTCACGATACCCATTTCCTCTTTCAAACTGCTCAAGCTAGCCCTTGAACGTGGTTCGTTCGAGGTAGTCAAACTACCACCCGAATATAAACTGCCGCTTCGAGCAAACGGCGCACCAAATGTCACCTGGTCGTTTTTCGGATAATTGATCTCGTTTGTAAGATCATCTAATGAATTCCGCATATGATGTTGATCGCGACTCTTACGTTTTTTCATATGTAAATATAAAAAAACCGATGATACATAAATGAGTCCTAAAAGCAAACTGCAAATGCCAATGACTATATACTCTTTGGTGCTCATACCGTCCGAAGTGGATGCCAAAGTCGTGGTAGCTTCTGACTGGAATAATACTTCCGACACGTCTAACGAAATAAATTAAATAACAATTTAGATAAATGCCATTAATTTGTTTGCCGCCATCATTGACCATTGATAACTAGTACTTACTGTTGGCATACTTAACGGGACTACCATTAACACGGAATGCTACACATGGTGAGAAAACATTTTTTGGTGGCATAATATGATCCGAGCCTATGGTCATAAAAGCATTAATCAATTGTTCATATAATGGCTGATCGTGAGTAATGTCTTTTTTTTTTTTTTTCGTTTACTCTTTACTTACTAGAAAGGCCGATGTTAGTAGCGTTTAATGCCAACGACATATCACGACATACTAAATGCACAACAATAAGACGACCTTGCATTTTATGACGTAGATCAGGTTCACCCAGCCACTGTAAGATGAAAATTAAAAGAACGGGAGATATTAAGCGATAGAATTATTAAAGCAGCGGTTAAGTGTTCATATAGCAAAACGAAAGATTTAAGTGACAAACTTGTTTTTGTTTAAATGCGGTAGAAAGCATTATGTACATGAAAATATCTCGCACATTATGCTAAGAGATTAAATTTTTTTTTTCTTTTCTACGTTTTGTTTCAACTTGTCACGCTATTTAATAATTATGGTTGCACTGCTTAATATTTTGTTTTGTTTGCTATTTAGTTTGATTAATAGAGTGTTAAGACTGTTTGGTTTAGAGACAAATAACCTACATAACTAAAGAAGCAAATTAGTAGCAAACACTTTTTCTTCTTCTGTTGTTTTTTCTTTTTTTTTTATATGTGCCCGCAACCTTCGATGATGGTTATAATCCGGTAGTCGAAATGTTTGCAACGCTGAGAAAGCAGCGTCAGAGACCCTACAAAGTACATATATTCTTGAACAGCATCAGCAAATTCTGAATCGATTTAGGCATGTCCGTCTGTGCAATGTCTGTTATATACGTTTTGAAAGCAGAAAAAACCGGCCGCACCCACCCAATATTACAGAGTTTCAGCAAGTGATGGGTACTTGTCTTTTTTTCTTTGTAATTGCTAGTCGAACATGTACGCTACACATATATGACGTGAAATGAAATTTTTTCTCTCTCTATGTTTTTTTCTTTAGATTGTACCTGCAAAAATGTTCTGCCCTCGTCACGAAACATACGAAATGGATAGTCATTGTCAATGGGATTACGTAGATCCGACCAACCGTTTGTTGTTAAGTATTGAGCCCCAGTTACGGCACACACAGGAGTGCGTATATCTGAAACAGATGATTTTATGAAATTGCAAATGAAACACAATTTGAACTTGAGCTGCGATTTGACGTTTACCTGGAAAATTTATCTCTCGACTGGGATAAATGATTTGACCTCGTAATGGCAAGAAAACAAAAGGTATTTTTTCTTTTGAAGAACCACTAACAAAAGGTGATAAAGTACACTCTGAAAAAAAAAAGAAACCAGAAAACAAGAAAATTAAGTAAATAAAAATCTAATAATAATCTCTTTGCTCCATATATGACTGATTACACGGGTATATTATTTAATTGAAATAATAAATTTTTCAAGTTTTTTTTTTCATTTTTTTTTTTTTTTTTTTTTATTCAATTATTTAAAAATCACAACACTTTCACTTCCATGTTTGACTCCCTACATCGTTATCTTCACGTATGACGGTGCTAATCTTATATCTATCTTTTCCATCCAAAAGAAACACAACTTTTCTAACTCCAAGCTAAACCATTAGGAAAAAAAAAAAAAAAAAAAAGAAAAAAATTAATTATAATCATAACAACAACAGAAGAAAAAGACATGTAAACAACATTTCTTGTTTTCTTGGTTTTATACACATTTCTTTATGCTTTCGCTCTCATTTTGTCTCGCTTCCTCTCCGGAATTCATCAAAAAAAAAGAAAAGACAAATCTCCAGAGACTTACAGTAATTACTAGTTCAGTTTCGTTGACGCTAACGCCGATGTTGATATGGCTTCTGTGTGTGCCTGTAGTAGCGTCATAGCGAAGATTAAACTTATGCCATCGAGCATGCCACACAAACACATATAGGTGCAGTTGATGCAACAATGTTAATTCTTTGTTATGATGCCTAAGCGTCAGCGGTGGCAACTAGTTGGTTAGTTTTCGTTCGTGGTATTCAAAGAGAATCAAGTATATGTAGACAGAAGAAACAGCACAGCTGGTATCATTAAAGCTACTAATAATAATAATAGGATTGCATGGGATGCCTTGTAATAAATAAAAGAAAATGAATGAAAATGAAACTGCATATGCGAGGAAAATAAGAGTCGCGTTGTGATTGAAGATGAGAAATTCAAATTTAATAACAAAGCCGCTCCAATAATATGTAATACATGGAATCAAATGATGCCGGACAAACGATTAAATCTGGACGCTTGCTGTCACGTGCAAGGAAAAATTATACATAAATTATTTAAGAGGTTTGTGTTTCACCTAAGAATTTTTTGGAAAATACTGAAAATATTATTTAATTTTTCCAATTACTTTCCATAATACTTTTCACTACCCATCAAAGAGGAATCACAATCTATTAAGTTTGCCTATCTTCCCGTTGAAATGCGCTTTAAATAGACCCATAATATATAGATATCTTTCGTTCAGTTGTCGCATAGCCGAGTACATAATACTCGCGAGTATCTGCTCGGTTTTCGAGTTCGGTTCATATCTCGGTGCGCGTAGTTATCGGTAAAACCATCACACTTATCGACTGACTGCGCATCTACTACCTAATTTTCTGTCTAATTTTTAATCACGCATAGAGGACATTCCCTCAAAAAAAAAAAAATAATGAAATTGTTTGCTAGTTATTTAGCGGTTCATCCACCGATCTGCTTTTGTTGTTTCAAAGTAGAAAAACTTGGACATAAAAACTTAAACTTCGCTTTTAATTAATGTACATAGACCTAGTTTGAAAGTAAAGTCATCCGCCCAATACCCACAACCTAGATAAACTTAAAAGAAGGGTGGAGAAGAATAAAGCACCCTTGGAGACTCTCAGTTCCCAATTATTCACGTTAGTCGCCACAAGTCCAAATGTGTGAGAGTCTGAAGATCAAAGAACGAATTTCTTTTATTAGCAATTGAAGATTTGTCTTGACCGGCTTCGTGAGACTTTATTCACTTGTAGGAATAAATCGCTTTGCATTTTAAGCTTCTTACTCGATTTGTGACCAATACCGCTGACAACGTTTGTCATTGTTTGCTGGAATAGTTTGCAAAAGCTTGTATTGCACTAAAGATTGAATTAAAATTTTTTAGCTTACGTTTCTTGAAACATCTCCAATTGTCATCAGTCACAACATGACGTGAAAAAGTCTGATGTGAAAGTTTTTGAAACAACGTTAGAAATAGAAGTGCGACTTTCCATATATCCCGACTTCCAAATGCAAGACCATCTGAATTGTTTAATATCAACGGTTACTCAGCGATGTTACCTATATGTACAATACTCTGGCGATCAGAAAAAATAGAGAAAGCGAAAGAAATACGCAGTGGTCGCAGTATAGAGGATGTGCGCTCAGTCGATAAGTATTTTGAGAGATGATTCACTATAGCTACAGCCGTCAAACGCACTCAAACCGCATAGAGATTTGAACCCGTCAACACCAATTTACAAGTCGCGGCTAGCTCGGCTATGCAGTAGCTGACTATTAACAAAGTTGAGAGGGCAAACGTCTTTTAGCCAATATTTCTTCAAATTCTTTATTTCCAAGGCCTTTCGGATATCTCGGGCATTGTTCGTCTTAAGCTCAAACTACACTACATTTAACCCAAATTAATGATTAATTAAATTTGAAGTAAGACGGCGCGTCTCAAACAGATGCGAACCCTAAGAAATCTGTGCAAACAGTTAATAAATTCTATAAAATTACCTTTCCAAACCTTTCGTCAACATTTATGTCAGTATAGTCTACGAGATTGCTATCCGTACCATTCCGTCCGTTCTTGCAACGATTGCAAAAATTGTAGGAGAAGGCTTCTTATAGTTTAGGTTTCTGTGTAATAAATATTTATTGATTGATTTCAAAATTGGGAATGACGTCTGCAAAATAGGCAAGAACCTACTAACAGATGTAGAAGAATTCTTCTAAAGTTCAGCGTAAACGGCAAGAACTTGGCCACGATTTGCATGGAATTATTGCATATAACGCAATTAGTGCAAACATAGATTTAAAGCTAGGTAGGAGGGTTTAAGGAAGCCATTTAAAACGAAAATTCTTCGTTCGAAAATTTTTTTTGCATGTCTCAAGTCTTTAAGGAAGCATTTCCTAAATTCCAAAAGATCGAAAGCTTTCGGACATCGCTTAGCGGCTGTTTCCTGTATTTCTATACAAGCTATCCCTAAAAGTCTACAAATAACGTAAAGTAATTTTATTTTCTGAGGCGATTTCTTTAAATACGCTTTTATGTGTTACCCAGGATTACAAACTACCTAAAATTAAGTTTAAGATTACGGTTTTTGCGGGCAAGAGCCCTGCCAGATGTCAAACGATTTTGCTTGAACACATGAAAAGCACCTCCTTGCTCTTGCGTTGCTATTAGGGCAGGTAATATTTCATCTTGTCAGATATCGTTGGATACACGATATCGATCGTGCAACCTATTGCGATGATGTGCGCTACTTAAATTTGTGAACACCGAAAGTATCGCAAACAAACTATTTGTTGAAGCCTGATATTAAACTACTTCAAGGGATATATCTCATCATTGTTGAATTAACAAATTTTACTTCATAACGTCAGAGCTCTCGAATGACGTCTTCTGGGAATAACTCTACCTACCTCTACGTCAAACTATAAGGCGAAAGAGATTGCAAGAGACACTAAGCCATAATTGTAATAATTCATCTCAATTGCAGAAGACACTCAGAGCACACACATACTTTGTACATGTGTAGAAATTTAAATGTAAGAAAAAGAGGCCCTGGCACATTCCAAGCAAGATTTCATCTGCTTCTGTATTTGATAAGGCAATGTAGAGTTTACATTATTACATTTTCCTTTATATAACAAACATGTCATAACTTATACAAAACAAGTTAATGGGTTTAGTTTTCTTATTTTTTCTGCTTTGCTGCAAAGAACGGAAAACAATAGAAAATATCTTATGACGCTAGCCATAATGAAAACAATTGAAAAATGGGAAAAATCTGAAACAGAAATAACTTAAAAAGAAAAAACAATGACCTAAAGTTAGCTCTGCTGAACCAGCAAAGAATTTGGGGCATTCTTCAGGCACATTGAGCAAATTTTTGGTGAAGTTTTCATGAAGCTATTATATATGAATACATTTTAAGGCCGGGAGGGATAATGATAAGAAGAGGGGCCAGCAGAACATATCTCAGAATTTCTTCGAGATTCTAAGCATTAGGAAAGGTCATCCGTAACTTATAGCATAGAACGAAAGGGAAGCATCTTCAGGCTATAATATAGTAATTAAAAAAAATATATATATATTTCTATGTAATAACGGAATAAATTATTAATGGAAAGAGCAGAGACATAAACATTTTATTGCATAAATGTTTTAATTTCACACAAACGCTCTCGACTAATAATAATGAAGTTGTCAACGAGGCAAACAAGTTATGACGAACTATGTTTGCTGTCGCTGCTGGCGCATTACACGTTGTTGGGGTTTTTTCATACCTCAATGCTTTTTCCAATTACGGTATTTAAGTCTTCATACTAAGATATAGAGCGCGGAATTTGTTAGCGTTAACTTAAAGAAAGTCGTTATTTGTCAACGCTTTTCTTTTTTTTTTTTATGTTTTGTTTAAGGAAAATGTGTGGTCGCACACAGGGAAGCGTGTCCACGGCATTATATTTAAGGATGATTGAACAAACTAAACTTGTTTGTATTTTAATCGATATTTATTAATTCCTACGTACATATACATTCATGTATGCATGCGTGCTTAAGCATCCGTAAATAGCTTCGTTTTTCTGCCTCTCTTAGTTGTCTATGTACACAGCATCACCAAAGTAGGGGACAGAGTAAAATTTCTGTAAGTTTATTATCAATCTTGCATGGCAAAGACACCTGCATCTATATTTTTGGCTGAAATAAGATGTTGACTCTGTTTGTGCACCAATTTGTCCGTCGGACGGGCTCTTTGCTCATCCGTTCATGTAATCATTTCTTCGTTCGTTTATAGTTGTTGTTTTCATATAATTTTTTTCTCAATCCGTCCGGCCGTCCATTGTTCAATTCGTCTAATCTTTTCTTGGCACATCCACCTGCTTACTTATTTTTACAATCCCAAAGAAATTTACATGAAAAAAAAGAGGTTTAGCTTGC